CCCTCGAGCGGTCGGTCCCGCCCCTCGGGCCCCGCCCCCAAGAGGAAGGCGCCGCCCCCGGCAGCAAAATACTGCTCTGGAGGATGCGGGCATCGATCCCGCTACCTCTCGCATGCTAAGCGAGCGCTCTACCATTTGAGCTAATCCCCCGCGCTGGCTGCACCGCCCGCGCCGCCCCCACAGCCCCGAGCGGCGCCGCCGGGACCAGAACCGGGACCAGAACCGGGACCAGAACCGGGCCGAGCGGTGGCACCGGGACCAGAACCGGGACCGGCACCGGGACCAGAACAGGGCCGAGCGGCGGCACCGGGACCAGAACCAGGACCAGAACTGGGACCAGAACAGGGCCGAGCGGCAGCACCGGGACCAGAACCAGGACCAGAACCGGGCCGAGCGGCGGCACCGGCAGCAGGACCGGGCCGAGCAGCAGGACCGGGACCGGGACCAGAACCGGGCCAAGTGGCGGCACCAGGACCGGAACCAGGCCGAGCAGCGGCACCGGGACCGAGAGCAGAGCCTGGGCCGAGCGGCGGCACCGGGACCAGAACCGGGCCGAGCAGCGGGACTGGAACCAGAACCGGGCCGAGTGGCGGCACCAGCACCGGACTGAGAGCGGAGCCCAGGCCGAGCAGCGGGACTGGGACCGGGACTGGGCCAAGCGGCAGGACCGGCACCGGGACCGGGCCAAGCAGTGGGACCGGACAGAGCAGTCCCCTGACCAAACGGCTGCACCGGGACCGGACCAACCGGAGCCTGGCCCGAGCGGCTGCACCGGCACTGGGATCGGGCCGAGCGATGCCCAGACCAAGCGGCGGCACCGGGACCGCGACCGGCCCGAGAGCGGCGCTGCCACCCACTGGCTGCCCCAGGCCCGGGCCACGCGGAGCCCCGACCGAGCAGCAGGAGCGGCCGCGTCCGGACCGAGGGCTGGAGCGGGCCCTCGCGAGGGGCACGTGGGCAGGCGGCACCGAGCAGCCGGGATGGTGCCACGGGCTGCCACTACAGCAGGCGACTGGAGCCGTCGGACCGGGCCGGGCCCGAGCCGAGGGGGCGGTGCCGGTACCGGCGAGCGGAGCCGTCCCGCGGGGGTGGGGCGGGGCCGGTCCCGCGGGGGCGGAGCGGTGCCGGTACTGGGGCCGTTCCGAGGGGCGG